AAATTTTCTCCTTAAAAAGAGCTCAAAGCAGCTAACTAGACAAAATCATTTTGCTTAGTTACACTGGCGGAAGGAAAGTAGTGTAACTAGTGTAACTATATAGGCTCACATGCTACTGAAGAATGTGTTACAGGTGCAAGCATGCTGACACTCTCCTTTGCTTCCTATGTCCCAATGTTCTCCTCCATTCATTAAGTGTTTGCTTGCTACCATTTGTCACCATATCTGGAACTGTGTCAACTAGTTTTACTTAGTTTCAAACCAAAATATGAAACCAGTTACACTGGCTTAATTACACTTCATGTTATTAGCTTCAGAGGTGGGGAGATTTGGGCCAAATTCACCTCTAAACTTAGTATGCCTTTTCTTTGTAAGTTTTCACCCCAATGTTTTGAGGGTGTAAGATCACAGGACATCAACTTTCCCTTTCAAAAAGAAATGAAGAAATGAGTAGAGTGATGGAATCTAAGCACCCCCATGGTCGTTAGCAGGTGAATATCCTGTAGGTAAAGATAAAGGTTCCCCTTGTCAATTTGTCTGATCGTGTCCAACTCTAAGGGGCGGTGCTCATCCCCGTCTCCAAGCCATAGAGCCAGCGTTTGTCGGACGACAGTTTCCGTGGTCACTTGCCAACGCGACTAGGCATGGAACGCCGTTACCTTTCCGCTGAGGTGGTACCTATTCATCTACTAGCATTTTTACATGCTTTCAAAATGCTAGGTTGGCAGGAACTGGGATAAACGATGGGAGCTCACTCTGTTGTGTGAATTCGAATTGTTGATCTTTCAACCTTGTAGCCCAGGGGCTTTTGCAGTTTAACCCGCAGCGCCACCCTCTACATACAATGTAAAATAGCAGAGGTTGAAAACGATGTGGTAAAATTCCAAAACAGAATTTAGTCTTATGCTGCTCAAAATGAAGTCCTGCATACTAGCTAAAGAGGTATAATTTAGTCCTCAACAGTCCTTGCTCTTCCTGTAAAAAGTTGTACAAAGTAAAAAATAACCAGGGGGAGGTAAAACACCAATTCTTTACTAGCCACTTTCTACTGCACCTCTGTGGTTTATATAACAATGTGATGAATGCTGAAAAGCAAACAAGGGATGAAAACTTGCCTGACAAGCTTTAAAACAAATCTACCTAGATTTGCTGGGTTATCAGAAAGCAGACTGGAGAAGAATTGTTAAAAGGGAAACAACTACAGGACTGAGCACAAAGGACCTAAGATGTGGTGTAAGTGTTTTCAATTATGAAACAAAGAACCCTAATTGCACTCAAACTGGCAACAGAGTTCAAATTTCATGACTGACAAAATGATCCCTTTGAGCATTCCAACCACAACAAAAAATTAGCTCCTATATTAAGCTCCCTTCAGGGCCCCTTGACTTCAGAGCCACACATTACTTAAAGTCAGATGGTGGGGGTAACAGTGGAACATGCGTCAAATCTTCCACTGAACACTTTTTGCCACTCAGTAAACATCTGAAGCAGCATCTTTTGACCTCATATTTTAATCTTACAAAAGCCAATGTAACATTGCCTCACAACAAAGGCACTACTAGAAGAGGCTACATAGAACATGTACAGTGTTAATACAAATGACATCAACCTTTACCGTGCCTTACTTCTTTGAGTGTGATATTAAACACACACACACATATCACACGTATGTGTATATCGTGTGTCTCACACATGATATACACATACACATATGTGTGTGTATATGTATATGTATGTATATACATGTGTGTGCCCGTGTGCGCACTACATATATCTCTAAAGAAACTCAGAAGATAGATGTTTGTGTATTCTGTGCCATCAAGTTGGAACTCACTTATAGGGACCCTAATAGGGCTATCAATGTAAGTGAGATAATTAAGCAGTGATTTTACCAGTTCCTCTCACCCAGTTAGTTTCCACAGCCAAGTGGGGATTCAAATCCTGTTCTCCAGTCCTAGATCACCACTACACATCACACGAAACAAACATATAAATTAATAAAAAGAAGCACTCACCTGCAAAAATTCATTGAGTTCAACCTGCCCATTTTTGTTCAAATCCACTTCATTCAAAATCTCATGGAGTGCACTTTCATTAATTTGAAAGTTGATGCTCTATAAGGAATTTGGAAGAAAAAACCCATACATTTGCATTAAAAGGACACTCTTAATATCATGCCAAACAATTTTGATATGTTTTTCTTTTGACAGACAGACAGACAGACAGACAGACAGAAAGACAGAAAGAAAGAAAGAAAGAAAGAAAGAAAGAAAGAAAGAAAGAAAGAAAGAAAGAAAGAAAGAAAGAAAGAAAGAAAGAAAGACAGTCAGACAGAAAGAAAGAAAGAAATAGGGTATGTAAAATGTTACCTCTAACACACGTTGTACATCCAATATAGTAATAAAACCTTTTCCTTCTTTATCAAACATGTGGAATCGCTTTTTGTACCTGCAAGATTGGATTACTCATGAAAAAGATGGACACTGACAAATGGTAAAAGCAGCTTTAAAATAGCAGTCTTTTAACAGGAGCCTTCTTGTCTTCATACTAACAAACTTAGCATTGTGCGTACAAAGTCTTAAAAATGCAACCCCACATAGCACTATCCTTGTTGTCATCCCAATGAATCTTGACTCAACTCTCTCCCAACTTCTCTTACTTCAACGCCACTTCATCCCACCTTCTCTTGTACTAGGAGCCACCTCCTTCTGCTAAAGAAAGAAACCACAGCGCAATGGCAGAAGACATACTTTGTACACATATGCCTTTTCAGCCCTTATTAGGTGTAGAAAGCTCATATGAAGAGGGGAGAACCCTAGCCTCGCCCCTTCACCCCTGTTGGCTAAACTGCAATACTGTAGCCAAGCCTTCGCTCACAACCTGAGTTAAATCCCGACAGATTCAGGTAGCCAGCTCAAGGTTGACTTAGCCTTCCATCTTTCTGAGGCTGGTAAAAGGAGCAGCCACATTGCTGCGAGTCAGTGTTGTTTGCATATTTGTGCTATAAACCACCCAGAGATTGCTCTAACACTATAGGGTGGTATAGAAGTCAAAACAATAACAACCACCCTCTTATGTCGGGATGGACAATAAGTCTGAAGCAGAGATCTTGCACTTTCTGTAAACATTGTTCATTTGAATTGTAATCCTGATTTCCCCCCCACGGTTTTGACTCAAGTAGAGTGACTCCATATGTAGAGGCTCCTCCTCTTCAGACCTGTCACTCTCCATGTATAGCAAGGGATGAGAGGCAGGGCTATAGTGCTCTCCTATTTGCATGAGATTTGTACACGAACACATAAATAGCGCTACAGTCTCTCAGTGTCAACCCCATAAGATCTTTGGTTAAGAAGATCTAAGGTAACAAAACAGAAAACTCTGGCTTGAAACCCTTGCCATCAACCTGACCCAATGGCCATGGCACTTGCATCCAACAACCTCCAGAGGGCACCAATTTCACACCCCAACCTAAAACCTCAGGAGGGACCTCTATCCCTTGTTGTATAGCAGTGCCAGATACTCAATCATCTGTGTATATAAGGCAGGTTCTTAGGTAAAACCCACAGGTCTTGTGCCAAGATAGAGACAGGGAACACAACAGCCTTAAGTCTAAAAAGAATAGAGATTGTAAACATTCTTTTTCAACTATAAAAGCTTTGCTGGCTGGAGGATTCTAGGAGTTATTGTTCAAAGACAATGTTTCTTAGTTCTGAGCAAACAGCAGAGTAACAAGAGTTCAGAATAACTGTGAATGCACCATGAAATTAAAATAAGAATACACTGTGCTAATTGGTAGTAAAGTTGAACAAAACAGGACTTGCTTAACTTCTATGGCTGGAGGCAATTTTCTCCACTCCCTAATCCAGTGATGGCAAACCTTTTTGAGCCCGAGTGTGCATTATGATAATAATAATGAAAGAAAGGAAAAAAAAAACTCCCCATAGTCCCTGCGGCCAGAAATGGATGGCCACATTATGATAATAATAATGAAAGAAAGAAAGAAAAAACTCTCCACAGTCCCTGCGGCCAGAAATGGATGGCCACATAAAAGAGAGAGTTTGCCGTTTACTCCTTCCCTCTCCGCAACCCCCTTTTTTTCCAAAACCACACCTGGAAAGCCTCTGGATTCTGCCTTGCCTTTCCGTCCCCGCCAGCTCATGAAGACGAGGTACTGGTCCATGGCCCAAGATGAGCCACCCACTTGCCATCCCGATCCCCACGGTTCAAATTTCCCGCGCAGCCTATTAGGCCTCACCTGCCTCAGCCGAAATGCTCTTTCCGCTTCCCGGGAGAGGAGCAGCCAATGTCCTCCTTATACTTGAGGCCTGGAGGAGCATCAACGTTGCGGCCATGGCCAGCTACTCCAGGGCCACCCAGGGATCGGAGGACGGGTAAGTATTTCTTGATGGTGACTTATGGCTCGCGTGCCCACAGAGAGGACTCGGCATGCCGGCTGTGGCACATGTGCCATAGGTTCGCCATCGCTGCCCTAATCTAGTCCACCCCATACCATACTTAAAGAGTCCAGTGGCGAAGGAGGAGTATTTTGCACCACACATTTACCTCTCAATATCTCCTGGCGAAAGAGTGATTTCACTGCTATCTGTCAGCTGCTCCGACCGTGCCTTGTAGCCCATTTCATAGTAGAGGAACTTCTTTGCCTGTGCCAGCTCCTCCTAAGGAAGGAGAACAGCACACTGTCTCAGCTCTAGGGTAACAGCAAATATTTACATTCTGAATTTCTTCTTTGCTGTAATGTTTTACTGGCTCCTTTCACTTAATTATAATTGCCAGTCCTTAGAGGAATATCAGCAGTTGATGACCAAAAAGTGCTTAAAGGTGAACAAGGTAATTAAGATTAGGCAGCATTTCATGCTTCAGCTAGATCACTGGTTCAGTTGTACAAGTGTTGATTATCAAGCGATAATTACTCTGGGAGACGTGCAATGGAAAGATTTTTAGGGCTGTATCATGCCCTTAATCCACTGCGCAACTCGCAGCGATGGCAGCAAGACCTGTGCCTGCAGACAAAAGGGCCAAGAGATGGCCTTTAAATTTTATGCTGGTATATCTCGTAGCTACAATAAATACCCTAAGTGGCAAAGTCACAGGTTTTAGCATCTAATTTTTGAGGCTTCTGCATTTCCTGATTACTCTCTTCAGGTAGTAGGGCAACAATGTGGGCTCATGGTCTAGAATCTTAAAATACTTTCTTTTGCCACAAAACTTTCTTTTGTGACATTTATGACCATCTGGATTGTTTCCAGATTCTGCTCACTGGAGAGCGAGGACTGATAATCAGGACTGCTACCTTTGGAAACAGAATCTTTTCTTTAACATGGAAACCATAGGCAACTCTGCCTTTTAGCTCCAAGGGTCAGGGAACAAGATTTGAGAATTCCTTTCCACGTGCCACTGCAATTACCGAACCAAAATCCCGTTCCTCAACCCTTACTCTCTTTCAGATATATGTGAGATTCGTCTCTGTGTGGGTTCCAATATGGAAATGCAACACTAGAGCAGGGACGAGATGTATAGCTGAAAAGGTTGTTGAAACTGATCTCCCTTCAATGAGGATCCATTCACACTGGAAGTACCTCCAAATATTAAGCCAAGGAAGAGAAGCAAACACTGTCAGGGGCTATTTTTAGCAATAACTCCAGAGCAGATTTCATGTGCACCCTGCATGTGGTCAGAAAATAAACTGATATATAGAGAGAGCTATCCCATTTCCCCTTACACCTCACAAGGAGCTCAAGGCAGCTGACAGCTTTCTCCCACCTTCACAACTACACAGTAACTTGGGGCATAATTCCCCATCACCAACAACACACTCCTTACGAGCTCCTCCCCCACATACAAACCCCCACCTCAGCTGTACCTTCTTCTTCTGTTCGCTCCATTTCAGCTTCTTCCCCATGATCTCAATGATTCGTGGTAAGGCTTCATCAGCAGCTTGCACATTCAGGAAGGCCAAACGTGTGCGACGAGCAATCATATCCACAGCCGTGCAGGCGTACTCTTTGATGCCATACTCAATCTATGATATTTGAAAGAAAAGAATTCAGAGATGAATTCTAGCCTGTGAATCTGCTGCAGACAGACATCAAGAGTAAAGGGGAACATATATATATATATATATACTGATGACTCAACATGGAGCTAACCATCCCCACCTTCTTTCCGGACCATATCATGCGGTAAACTGAACTGACCCATGACTAACATTACGAAAAACCTTCGTTTTCTTAGATAACATATTTTAAAAGAAGCATTCTGAATGACCCCATTTATCTACAAATTCAGAAGCTCTAATTTTAGAACTTCCTCCTTGTTCTATTCTAGAAAAGGGGAATTTAATCATACGTATCTAACCTTCCCAGATCTTCTACCATCTGTACCTCACTAGGTATGTTCATCCCATAGCTACATCCCCTGAGCTGTTCTTCCCGATCTCCGGAGGATGCCAGCTTTTTCACTGGTTCCTGAAGCTGTGCTTTTTTATAGTAGTTCGATGGGCCACCATGCTCAGATAATTATGGTTACGTCACTACAAAGTAAAGCTTTCCTGATGATTTCCACATGATTTGCCATAAAGGAGCAGTACTTTTCTGGTCCCTCTGTAGAATGTAGGACCCTGGCTCCTATCTACATCCTTTCAAGTTCAAACATGTGCAGGCAAACACAGAGACACAGTATGTGCCTCCTCCCTTTTGCTGCTGCTTTCCCATCCACCTGGTCCCATAAATCTCTCCCTTCTAGGCTCTTACAGACCATCCTGTAGAGGCAAAGGTAAGGAAAGTAAAATAAATAAATAAATAAATAACCCAACAACAACAAACAAACAAAAAACCCCACAACATTTTTATTGCCTTGGAATGTGTTTCCCTCCCACTCATCTTTACAACAACTCCATGAAGTAAGTTAAGTGTTCATATCTCAAACTGAGGAAAGACATTTCCCAGATTAGAATTCACCCTCTTTTGTGGGTGAATTGTTTTCATTTACTAATACGTACTAGTGATCAGAGTTAGCTTGCTTACAGAATCTTTTCTTAAGAAAACACAGAGCATTAAAAAACACACACAGAGAAACAAAAAAGGAGGGAAAGACAAAGGGCTCAGCCATACCTCTGACTCAATGTACGGAAATTCTGATACCAGGCGTTTTCCCACAATAGGCCACCTCTTTCCGGTCACTTGGGCTAATTTTGCCACTTCAAACGCCTTGTCCCCGAACGTATTTGCAAGATGTTGGGCCACCTATGGAATTGAGAGCAGGTTAAGTGCTTGGTGCTTCCTAGCATACAGCTCTATCTCAGACAGGAGAGATTCTTGTCAGTTCTCTCATTGCCTGTAACTAATAGGCTGAGGAAAGCATCAGATGTGGATTGTGTGGGAGGCAACTCCTGATGCTAGGAATGCTGAGGCCAGCATTACTGCTGCTATGCATGTATCAACTGAACAGTGACTAATGATGCTTCAGGTTTCTGCTACTGTGATCCAGCCTTAAGAATAGATTTCCTTAGAACTGAGAAGCCAATCAGCTCAGGTTGACATGGTTAAGAGACAGCGCATTCACAGATTATACCAGATATAATATGGGAACTGGTCTTATAAAGTAGCTAGAACAACAAAATGGCATCTCCTTAACATTTTTAAAGGGGAAAAGACATTCGGTCTCCATTTTAAAAAGATGGTCAAACATCATGATTTATAGCTGACTTCATGCTGTCAACCTTTAAAAGAAAAGCTCATCCCAAATAAAGGGTTGTACGCAATCAGTAGAGGGGAGAAGGAAAGGGTGTTTCTTCCACCTCCCTTTCCCTCAAGAATGCCCAAGCCGTTCTGCCTTGGCCTAGCCAGCCCGTCCTCTGCTCCATCTCCTTCACCTCAACCTTCTTCCTCCCCACTCATTTCCCCTTGCTGACCTCAAGAGTATTTTGAACCTGGCTCCAGTAGAACCATTCACATACTTCAAAGCCTTAGAACTCATGGTTTCAACTCTTGTTGTAATCCAGAAGTCCAGTCCAACTTTTCCACTCCCAAAGGTGCTTTTCCTGAATTTGGGTGCATTTCCCTTCTATCATCCCACCCCCATGGTACAGGACAGGTTCTTCAGAGAGGACCAGGGACACCCTTTGCAAACTTCTTTCCATTCACAGTTCTACAGATACAATCTGTTCTGCCTTCTCTCTCTCTCTCTCTCTCTCTCTGTGTATGTGTGTTTATATTCCATATTAATGATTTGACAAGTCTCACCTCACTTTCCAGTCCATAGTCTTGAACCAGTCGTATATAAAGGGTAGGGCTCCAACCTTCTGCACCCTGCAAGACGAGTCCTACAGTCCTACAGGGACCTGCTTGAAGGCCATGAGCTTTTACAGCAGCATCAATTGTGTCCTCTGCCATGGAACGGTAAGTTGTCCATTTCCCACCTGAGAACATTAACAAAAATCAGTATTGTAGGACCCTTAATCTACCATGTGTAATAGGCTGCAGTAGCATTTTTAGAGTTTTTAAAGGAAATGTGGAGAACCAGTTGTTGAGAGAAGCAGGCCCCCCAGCCCCATCATAAACTAAATGATGTCAGAGGCTGGGCTAAGCCCCTTGACATCACTGGCTACCTAGTCAAACTGTCTGCTGGGAGGGAGGGACGAACACGGGAAGGTGAAAACAGAGGCAGGAAGGAGGGGATTCAAACTATCAACAAGCTGCAAACTAAGCTGATTTCTTCCCCTCTCTCTGCTCATTTCTGTGTGGCTGACTGAAGCAAATTAACCTGGGGAAACCTGACTTCTCCCAGTGCAATTTCACAGCAGAAACGCTGCGTTTTTTTCCTTCTGTGTACTTGCACCCTAAGAGAGAATTCTCTATGATGTAACATAAGTGATGCAACAAAATGATTCACAAGAAGTGAAGTCCTTGTACCGGCTATAGTCACAAGGCCAGTGTCACTGACGTGTACGACATGATTCCGCGATATAGACTGGGTGTCTTTAGAGTTTGGGTCAGTCACGAGAGGACGAATCCCACTCCATGCTGCAAGAACATCTCCCCTCCTCACTGCAAAAGAAAAGAAAAGAAATGATGTCAGAAGTGCCTTCTCACGAAATTATGTATACACAAAGTATTGCACAAAAAAGGAAGGCAGGAAGGCAGGAAGGCAGAAAATAATGTATACACAAAGTATCGCACAAAAAAGGAAGGAAGGAAGGAGATCACCACAATTTCTAAAATGTCATTTTGGGGAAATAATATTGCCAGCTCCACAAATGTTAATGACAGAAAGGTGACAAAGAAGAAGGTAGAAATCTAGCATAACAGCATCTTTTGATTTAATATGGTCTAATGCCTAATTTGTCTTTGAGAAACTTCAAAATAATACTGTGATAAAAGAAAACAAGTTACTACTTTTCAGAAGATTAAGATGCAAAGAAATACGAGTTAAACTTACTCCAAATGAATGCCTGCATTGAGGAAGTCACAAGCCAACATTTTGTAGATCTCAACATTTGACAACTACCTTGGTCTTAATGTTGTGAAGAATCTTGGATCACTGATACATTTAAAAGCTATTTTCAGCACACATTTTTACACCAATCTGTTGCTATTTACCTATATATTTAATTTATGCTGACCTGTTCTTTCCTCTTTAGTAATCTCATGTAGAGCCAAGTCAATTCTACTTCTCTTAAATAAACATGCCAATACGCCAGGGGCAGATAGTCACAAACACATGCTCTCTTGCTCTCTCCTTCCCCCCTTTGTTTGGATTATGGAGTACGGACATATAACTCTGGACACACTTGTGTCTCATTATCTTCATACCTATTAAAATACTGAGCATTCCTGTTCTCAATACAAGTTTCTAGACTTCCTCATTATTTGAGAGAAGCATGACAAACAGCATATCACCATCTATTATGAGGAATTTATAAACAGGCATTCTCACAGGCCTAAATTCTATTGCTTTTCCTTTATTTCTACTGGAACATTTTTAAAAGGCCAAAGTAGTTTGTTCCTGTCGATTAAAAATATTACTGGATAGTAAAATACTACCATCTTACTGCTTACAGGGGATATTGTCTCAAATTCTTCACAACATCTATAAATATCTGGAACCAGCACTTGCTGCAAAATTGCTTAGCTTCACAGAACAGAATGAGGACAAATCACCTTTCAAACTAAGACATGCCCTGCCTTTCTCTTCCTTCTGGATTAGCACGGATCTTGATTGTTGGGAAACAAAGATCAGTCTGTATGATTAGCCAACGTAATTTAAGTATTCATTGTAAGCTATCATTACCTATATCACAAAGCAACAATTGGAACCACGTGATACATATGTAAACCAGGACTGTGTAACCAGCTAACATCGATAAAAGCATTATGCCCCCCCTTTTTCCATTAGTTAGTTTACCTACTTTGCTCCTTGCCAACCACAGCACAACGTTGCATGGCACTACCAAATCTGTTCACTGTAGTTTTAGCAACAGAACGCAAGAATTTCTGATTTCTCATCTACCACATACATCAGAAAATTTGGTCTTATCTGGGAGTTGCCCCAGACGTTACATGTCAAACCTAAAGGAAGATTACAGGTATTCTGTAGGAAAGAGAACTGTCAGGGACTCTTCATTTGTGTGGGAAGTGAAAGAAATTTGAAATTTGTCTTTTCACACTTTAAAACCTGTGTTTGAACTGTTTCTTCTCTCTCTTTTTTTTAAGTATTCAGGTTACTCTTTGGACCACCTCAAGGGGTTAAGGAGGTGTCATTGTAGTCAACATCATACAATACTTTATTTTTCACTTGTCATCAAGATGGAACACAGCCAGGGGCCCTCTGTCACTGGGTTTTATCTATGGTTTTCCCTTGGAAACAGTGTGTTGCCTTTCTTTTAAAATTAACAACCTGTGGTTCAGCTCTTTTAACCAACTAGTAGCCACAAATATTCTTTTTTTTAAAATCCCCCCTCTCTCAGAATGGCAAGAGAGTCTGCTTTATCCCAAAACAGAAAAGGAAAAAGGAAAACTGTCAGTGAGATGTCAAAGGATCTGTCTTAACCTTACCATGTCGCAGATATGGAGATAGTAAATTAGGACAGCAAAAATAAAACAAAAAAACTCTGTGGTTATAGGACTGCCAGGCCACAGGCAAAGTTGGAGAACATGCACTTTTCTTGGAAGTAAATGAGATAATTCATCCCAAAAAAGACTTTTATCTTCCATATCTCTCTCTATCTTCCCTACATGACAAGTAGGTATTTCCCCATTTTCCCCTCTAAAATGAAAGGACAGCTAAGAAAATCTGTAACGTAATTTCACGGTTTTACCAAATGGTGCACAAGAACCATCTTACATAAAAGCTTATATAGGTACATGTGGTGATGGGATTGTTTTAAAGATACTGCTTTCACGGGAGTGTTAACAGAAAAATCAATAACGCCTTGTAAAAATATCCTGAAAGAACAGAGGAGAGATCTGAGAAATCAATGTTGTTCCCCGGCACGTTTAACCCACCAAAATGAAGTGCTAATCACAGAAATAAGATACCATATTACATTTATAAATTAATGAAACTAGAAAAAGCAGCATGTGTGACACCATAATTAAACAGCTGGAACACATCCAAGCCTGTGTAAGTTGATAACCCTGCCACTGTCTTTGGCAGCAAAAAGGCAGGTCTGCAGTGAGTTGATATGGCCAGCACCATTGTTAATTCTTTAACAGACAATCTATAAACACAACTAATTACACATGTGGAAAACAGTGTGCAGCCCAGGTTGGTGACTTTCAGAAGCATTAAACACTCATGAAAACTACTTCTGCAGAACTGTTCCGCAAAAATAAATAAATAAATAAAACCCTGTCTGAATCAATCCTCCGAGCTCTAGCTTAGTGGAACCAACCACCTTGCCTGACAAACCACAGCTTTTTGTTTGTTTGTTTATTAATTTGTGCATGCAGGACGTAATGATAGGGTTTCCCCCTCATCTCTCCTCCTGCAGGCCATTTTTCTTTAATGGCTACAACAATAACAGAACTATCAATTACCCATTTCAAGGAAGAACAAACAAGTAATCTAGAATTTTCCATTGGTGAAGAGGAGGTTTCTGAATATGAATATTCAGGCTCTTTTAACACCTATAAAGGGCAACTCAGAGTTCATGCCTTTTTATAGGACTGTTTTAAAGCAAATGGATGATTTGAGGGATTTGGTAATGAAACATGACGCTTTTTGCACCTCTCAGTGATCAGACAATCACCAGTCTTCAAGGACCTAAAGCTAACAAAAATAAACAAAAAGCCACATCCCATTTTAGCTTCTCAGTGGTGAACTTTGTAGAGGGAATTTTTAGCCCTTTCCACAATGGAAATTGTTTCCATTAGTTAAACAGAAACACCTGAAGTTTTGCAGAGTGACAGCGGGTTACAACTTCAGACAGAAATTTTTCTGATTCTTGAAAGCATTTCATATTTTCCTAAAAGTTATCCCCTATGCTAGTGATGGCGAACCTATGGCACGCGTGCCACAGCTGGCAGGCAGTGCCCTTTCTGCAGGCATGTGAGCCATAAGTCATGGGATCACTACTCTCCCTCCCCCCAGCCAAAGATGAGAAGGCGGCTGTAGCCGCCGTGGTGGCACTTTGACAGGCTGATCTGGAGCAGCTGGCGCTGGTGGCGGATCCGGAGTGGGGTCTCGAGGCACTTCTGTGCCCGGGATTCCCCCTTCTGCCAATGCCACTTCCAGTTCTGCCGTGGCACACTGCCTTTTTCTTTCTTTTTTCAGCCCACAAGGTTCGCCACCACTGCCCTATGCTTACTTCCTATTAAATACTTCCAGTTCTGCCCACTGGGGTTTTTTTCTTTCCTTTTTTCAGCCCACAAGGTTCGCCGCCACTGCCCTATGCTTACTTCCTATTAAATCCAATATAACTTAATACAGATTAAATACCAACCTTCTAGTTACAAATAGGATTATTAGAACTCCATACTTATTGATGGAATGCAAATCTAAATTATGTTTGCAATTATCTGATCGTGAACAGTAATTAGATTAGATTTATTACTGACTGAAAATAGTGTGATTTCCTTTTCAAGCCAGCTATTCTCAGCTGCAAGTGCCAGCCGAGAGCTTTCTGTACCTCCTTCCTCTTCTTTATAGAGGGAAAAGGAAGGAACAGCAAAACTGGCAGCTCTCCTGATGTTGTTTAAAGAAGCCCTCTGGCACATCTGTAATCACCAACTGAAAGCACTTTGCTCCTCCTTCCCCTTCCCCATGTGGGGAAGGGAGAGCCATGCTATGTCCTTAGAAAAGCTCTACCCAGCACTTCTACCCAGTGGCATCAGAATATGTGGTAATGCCCTCGATGTCTCCTACCATACCACAGTCATCTCCTCAATCTCCCTCCAGATAAGGTACCACATTCTTTTTGCAAAAGAAGGAGAGAATACTCCTGACTAGAGATGGGGACGACTCACCATTTTGCCAAGTCATCTTGCTTCGTGATCCATCAAAGTTGACAAATCATGAAGCACGAAGCTCCCCTCATGAACCGATGAATCACAAATTTATTTGTTGATTCGTGGGGGGTTAGACAGAAGAAAAACCCTGACACCCCCCCTGTCGCGGCTTTGACTTCATTTAGGGTAGGGAAGCTGCAGCCTCCATATTTGCAAATGGCAACCTGGATTCCCTTAAGGAAGGCTAAGGGAATCCAGGCTGCCCTTTGCAAAGATGGAGGCTGCAGCTTCCCTACCCTAAATGAAGCCACAGCCGCCATCTTTGCAAAGGGCATCCAGTGTCCCTTACTGCAAGTTGTCGCTGCGGAGGCCAGCTGGAGACCGTGGCGGCACTGGATGGTGATAATGGCTAAGGTAGGGAGAGGAAGGGGGCAGGGGATAGGCTGCGAGGGTGGGTGGTTGTGGGAGTGGGTGGGCTGCCTATCAGCCTGCTGATCAGCTGACCGGCAAGCCCATAGTCAGAATGGGAAAGCCATAGGAAGAAAGAAAAGGCCAGTCTTCCCTCTCTTCCAATGGGTGATGAATAAAAATGGGGAAATATTCGTCCCTCCTTATTCATCGGGGTCTCTGGAACTGACGAACATGAAGGGATGAATATTTAACGAATCAGCAAATATCACGATCCTTTTTTTATTCATCCACATGTCTACTCCTGACCCATAACTCTCAGGAATTTCTCTCACCCTCATTCTTCAGAACATTCTCTTCTAACCTTGCCACACCCTACAAATGGTTGAATTGAGAGAGTGTTGAAATATCAGTTCACGCTTGCTTTATACAGCCTTGCCATATGGCGTTTTTGGCTTGGAGAAATCTCCAAACATATCTGAAGCAGTATCATCCAGCAGTTTTGAAAAATTTAGTGGAAAGGTGTTTACTGACCCAGATGTATTCCATTACTGCCAAAGATTACCTTCAACATCACAGCTAAGATAGTTGCGCACTTCTGTTAAGATGAAGTTGATATCTTCTTCTGTAGGAATTGGATGAGGTGTGACTTCAGTTGCAGTATCTGTGGTACCAGCAATGGTCATCTTTTGCCATGGCAGGAAGAAAATCACTCGTCCATCACTAGTAGAGGGGTCAAGGAGTCCCATGTTATCCGGGCTGGAATAAACAAAAATTTAGTTATCAAGGAACTGCTTCAGGAAACTTATGAGAACGAGAACTGCAGAGTTCCTCCTGTTTATCCATTACTCAAGAGGGAGGAAAGACACACATATATTTTGTTCTATCTACTGCATTTTTGTGACTGAGAAGGGAGAAAATTCTGCTGCTGTTTTATGAATTCTGTCACTAAATTGGATTCATAGTTTCTAGGACATCTGTACCTTTGATCCTTTTGCATTTCTCAAATAATACATGACTTGTACTTTCCAGCTCAACTTGTTCTCTTAAGGTAGCAGCTTTGTATGAAGATTATTTTCTGTTGTCAGTTAGTGGTACTGTTGTGCTGATTTGCAATGGTCAGATACTATGGATAGATGGTACAGCTTGATGATAAGGAGGTAGTACAGACCTGGGAGTCAAATAAGGGAGTCAGGCAGACATGAACAGAGTGCATTATTATACTAATTTCTCTTCTATTGCTTCTCAGGAAGCTGGAGGAGTATGTGTGGCAAAATAAAACGGCCAGCTATACCAGTGGTTCCCAGCTTTGGGTGCCCATTGCCCTCCCAACCCTGGAATAAAACGCGAGACAGTGATATGGGTTAAATATGGGACACACTTTATTAATATACATTCATATTCAAAATTTGCCATTCATAAGGAGGGGGCCTGCTGTAGTGCGGAAACAGTTAAATGACGTATCTAAATACTCCTAGATTAATGAAAGGGCGAGTCCCCGGCCCCAGTGATCTTAATGGTAGCAGGAACCTGGCCGGCCACTAACAAACAACCATACACCTCGATCCCCCTTTATTCGAGGGTTGTTAGTCTGGAAGTGGCCCAGCGCATCTTCCCGCCACAGGCACTGTAATCGCACGATCCGCAGTGCCAGGCCGTCGGATGTACTGTTGACTTATTTGAATTACAGCGGGACCCAACGTAAATACCTGCTTTTCCCACATTACCCACCACTGTGACCAAAGTTTATACCACCAACTTGCCACAACCCTCTTTTAGTGTGGGATAGGCAAAAACTCCCCCATCCACGGGCCAATCAGGACGAAGGCCAAAAATCCTATCTGGCCCTGTAATGGTGACCAGAATAACTCACACTAGAAATAGGGAGGGCGGGTGGGTGCCCGAAAAGAAGAGGGTGCTCCAGAGAGGAAAGCCTGTTTAAATACCCTGGCTTTCCCCTCCCACCTAGGAATCATGTGATACCAATCCGTCTCGCGATATCCCGGGTGGAAGGCAAGGCCAGCTTCGCTGCTTGAGGTCCAAGGACTGCAACTGTTCTTGGACTGCAACTCTCAGAAATTCTGCCCAGCACAGCTAGTGGTAAAGGCTTCTGGGAGTGCTAGTTCAAGAATATCTGGGGACTGAAGATTGGGAACCACCAGTTATACTGAAAAGTCTTGAGAAACTACTTTCCACTTCCCTCTTTAAGCAAACTGGAAGGCCTTGGGATAAGGTGGTAGAGATATTCGTTACTTCTCTGTGAGTCCAATTTGGAAGGCAGTGAGCCATGTTTTAATGCAGGTGACAGTGGATCACTCAGGCAGCTGCCCACTCAAGAGAAAATGTAGAGAACTAGCTTCTGAACCTGATGACAAGGATTATAATTAAAGATTCATATACTGACATCCAAATAAAAACTCATTCAATTCTACATATCACTATGCATATTTTCCACCCAGAAGGGGTATTGTCTAGGTGAAGGGAAAAGATGTGTGTGAAATGCATCAGAGAGAAAATGACAATTACATACACTTGAATTCTAAATTCTACATTAACAAGTCTTTGAGATGATATTTATATACAGCTTAAGGATACATTTGGAGAAGTAAAGCTTAAAAAGTAGGTGTCAACATGGACTTGTGCAAGGCAAACCATAGGAGACAAGTAATTACTTTTCAAAATGAAATCACTATTGATTTAGAGAGAGGCAGAAAAACTTAGAAATTTAATATACAGACTTTTACTGCTCAAAAAACTTTTGACAAGTTTTCAAATAAGGTCTCTAAATTGGTTTAAAGCAAGCAGAACTACAGAGGGCTGAGTTTATTCTTTGCAGAGATTGCTGGGAGATTAATTTGAATTAAGTTTTAATATCTGAATCACCAGAGGAGATAAAATGAGAAGGATAAGCTTCTGAAAAATAATGGTAATCCCACCATCTTGCCCAAATCTACCAGATCTAGCTGATCAACTTTCAAGAATTAAGGTGTCAAATAGGTGTCAAAATCCTAGAATCTAGATGGAGTAATAGTAACAATACTTGCATTTATACAGTGCTTCATGCATTTAAAGAGTTTCGCATATATCACAATAAACCCCTGCAAGGTTTGTCTGTTTTATTAAACTTCTAGAGACAGATGAAAAAATCTTATTGCTTAGCACAATACAGTGGTGCCTCGCTCAGCGATCGCTCCGTTGAGCGACGAAATCGCTTAGCGACGGAATTTAAGCGATCACAAAAGCGATCACTTAGCGATGGTCCCTATGGGGAAAATTCGCTTTGCGATGATCGCGGGGAAGCGATCATCGCAAAGCCCCCATTTTCGGCCACCTGATCAGCGGTTTCAAAATGGCCGCCGGGTAAACAAAATGGCCGCCCGCTGTGTGTCCTCGCTTTAGAGGCATCGAAAATGGCTGCCCCTATGGAGGATTTTCGCTTAAGGTTAGTTTTGAAGCCCACAGGAACGCATTAATGGTGTTTTAATGCGTTTCTATGGGCTTTTTAATTCCGTTTAGCGATGAAATCGCTCAGCAACGTTTTTCCCTGCATGGATTAACGTCGCTAAGCGAGGCACCACTGTATATCACACTAGAGTTTTTTAAGGTGCCACAACATTTTTGTCTTCTTCAGTTTTTATTTTTCTTTTGTTTTTGCCTGATATGCTAGCCAAGACTTAACATGAGTAGCTCTTCAAAAACACTCAGTAAAACTCTAATGCCTGGAATAGACATATGGCCAGAAATTGTCATTCTCTTTAGTCATGCCAGAAAATGTAGTTTTTTGGTTGATGGTAGTGTTCTGTCATGATCTGGGTTAAATACTATTTCTTAAATCCCCTGGCTTCCAGAAAATTTGGAGTCAAGAACTGAACAGCATAAAGAAGTCATTCCACAGGCCATAATTAAGAGGCCTTCTTCAAGTAACCAGGGATGCAAGATGTATGTGGGGGGTTTGGGTGCACCCAGCAGGATTTTTCGGCACTACATTTAACAAAGGTTGTGCCTGATATCTACATTTCAAAAGCAGCTTGATGTTTTGCTGCTTGAAGAAAAAATAATGAAAAGTCCTTAGCAGTTATATAGCTTACTGCTTTTTGAACATCCTGAGAGAAGAAACCAACATCAGAATCCACACTGAAATGCAATAATTCTACAATTGTTGTTACAATCGAACAAATTGCTTCCGACTTACAGTGACTTCCTTAAGGTTTTTGAAATGCATTCTAAGGGTCAGATTTTTT